CTCGGGCAGTTAGCTCGAGCTCTCTTCCCCAGAGTAAAGGGGAACCCTTGGCCTAGGGTATCGTGCCCCCTCCCCAGGGTAACGGGGCCTCCGCCCAAGGCAACGGGCCCCACGGCAGCGCGGGTCAAAGCTGCCCCCCCGCCCATGTTAATGGGCACCCCCTCGACAGCCGGTGTCAAGGCTGCCCCTCGGCCCAGGGTACAGGGCCACTTAGCAACCCTGGCCAGCCTTCCAATGAAAACAGTGCATCCAGTGACAACAGTGACGACATCGATGACAGTGATTACAACAAAAAAGCAGTGTATCAAATAGGCAACACAACAATAGTGCTGAACACCATCCTTTGCTTTATCGCAACAAAGAGAGCATGGGCAAGGATGGTCTTGTGCGACCATATAAAGAAGCTGTACAGCCCTGAAGAAATTAATCAGGCTCACAACATCATTTTAGACATATCGGAATCTAGAAAACCAAGGAACACGACACGTGACGTCAAAAGGATGATAATGGTCATCGTGCATACAATGATTGACCAGTGTTTGAATAATGACAAATTAGTGTTCGCAACGACAACAATAAACATTCCAACTACAGATTGGTCACCACCGAAAAAATCCACACCCTTTGTAATTTTTTTCCACAAACCAAGGCACCCAGACACACAACGAGCCAGCTATCAATCAAGACATCATCGAAAACAAGATAGACTTGCTAATCTGTGACCAGCAGTCCACCATCAACAAATTGCTTGGCCAAGACGTGATGTCTCCTCAGAAGCAGGAATGCGAAGAGGCAGCATCACTCGTGGCACATTCACCCCCCTCCCCCCAAACCCCGTCCTCCCTCCCCTCTCCTACCCACGACCAGTCCTCCTACCAACCCTTCCCTTTCGCATTCCCTTCCCCCTGTGAGAACATCTTCTACCTCGACCCTGCAAGATCTTGAACACACACAACCCTCCCCCCCATACAACCTCTACGTCTGTGCCCGACTCTTATATTGGAGAGAAATCTTGATATATTATGTATTAGTGAAACATGGCTTTACCTAGATATGTCAAGCGCATTCATCAAAATACCAAATTTCAATGTTTATAGATGCGATGCAGGGCGTGGTGGAGGAGTCTGCATTTATGTACGAGATACTCTCAAAACAACTGAGATATCCGCTACAACTGCAAGGGGTGCAGATCTAGAGGATATTTGGGTTAACGTACAATGCAATATGCTTCCGTCATTCATTGTAGGCGCAACCTATAGGCATCCTCATGGTTCCTCTGAATCTTTTGATTATATAGAAAAAGTTTTTAGAGAAATGTTACTTTAAAAGAAACCTCTTTTCATACTGGGTGATTTAAATGATGATTTAAATAAACCTAATGCAAAACTATTTAAAATAATTAGGAAAAACAAATTAGAACAAATAGTCAAAAAACCTACAAGGATCACAGAATACACTTCATCATTAATTGATGTAATAATAACAAACAGAGCTGACCTCATTCACCATACAAACGTCATTCCATGCCATGTTGCCGATCACGAACTCATAACAGTGACGCTAAATTTAAAGAAATCAAAACGACCACCAGCCATAAAAAGTTTCCGAGAATTAACCAACTACGACCATCAGTCATTATGCCAACAAATAATTGCCAAGGAAGCAACTTTTTTTTTTTAGAAATATTGCAAACAGATAATGTAGACAAACAGGTAAATGTCTTTACGGAAGTGATTAATGACAGCATAGATGCCATCGCTCCATTTGTTACAAAAACTGTTAGACGTCCTCCTGCTCCATAAATAAACGACATCAAGAGAGCAATAACAGATAGAAATAGCGTTCATAAAGCTCTCAAAAATAACAGACACAACATGGGACTCCAGAATAACTACAAACAAAAAAAGAGAAAAGTCAAATCACTTATACAAGGAGCCAAAAATGATTATTTTAGAAATAAATTAACAACTTGCAAAAAAGACTCTGCTAAGACATGGAAAATCATTAAAACACTTGTACCAAACCAAAAACATCACAGAGATTATCTAAACACCAGTATTAGTGCAAATGAATTTAACGATGTTTTCGCTAAAATTGGACATCTCACATATAAACAAACATACGCTTCCAGATCTCAGCAAAAGGCAGGTAGGATAAGGCCACTAGCAAATATTTTCAGACCAAAACCTGTAAAAATAGAAACAGTAATCTTAACAATAAAACACCTGCGTCAAACTAATGCTGTGGGAGCAGATGGTATTGCTTTTCGCTTTATTAGAGACAGTCTACCTGCAATAGCCTACTATCTAACGGTAATTATTAACACATCCCTAGTCACTGGTGATTTCCCATCGTTTTCGAAACATGGCATAATAACACCAGTTTTCAAATCCGGAGACACAGACGAAGTCAATAACTATCGCCCTATAACCATACTGCCTATACTATAACATGGTTTCAGAAGTAAATTGTCTACTGAAACAGCATTATTACGGATCAC